ACACCCACAGTATTTTTCTTTAGTACATGTATTCTCCCATTTGTTGCCTTTACAGGGTCCTGCTCTATTGAATTCTAATAAATTTAATTTTATGTACTTAGTACTAGCTTTTCATACCTATCAACCCCTAATTGACAGTTACATTTTCTGGTCACTTAGCAAATGGAAAGCATCATATCTTTCAAAAACCTAAGCCAAAATAGTACACTTGAAGGCAAACTATCTTGAAGTGATAAAGAGGAAGTGGAATTAACATATTACAAAACTATCCCTAATATACTTACATGAGGGGACTCACTTTTGTCTCACCTGAGTAAAGCAAAGGACAGTGACAGTTTTATTAAAGGAGGGGAAATAAAGAAGAAGGAATTTCTCTAAATATCACTGTTAAAGAAATAATTGAAGAAGTTTCACCAAAATGAACTGATGGGAAGAAAGGAAGGCAGACAAGTTAGCAAACTTACGAAGGTTACAGTAAGAGTAGAAAAGAGACAATTTACCTGACAACAGGTCGGTTTTGGATGTCACCAGACTGCTGCGTTTACCATTTTACCCGCTTGCATTACTGGGGGGAAAAGTTTAGGAAGGAACATTCTCAAGGACTTTTCATAAGTTCTCACTCTCGCCATCAGAAAGGGGAGAAGGGAAGGTTTTCTCTGGATTGTTTGACTTTTTTGGCTCCTGAAAAGTTTTGCAAAGAACAGTAACAAAGTGTGAACTGTTAGAACACATTTCTGTAAAAAAAAGGGAGAAGCCACACAAAAAGAGCAACAACAAACTCCACCCAAAATCCGCGCATCTAATTTGTGTCATTGGTTTAAACAAATAAACAAAACAGAAACTTTTCAACTCAAATTGGAAATATGAGAGGCTTGGAGGCTTCCAACAGCAGGCCAAGATCCACCATCAGAATGCTCCAAAAGTCACCCTCAAAGGTTAAGAAAGACATAAAGAAATAAAACAAAGGAAAAGGTAGCAAAGATCTGGTTGTAAATCCTGCAATGTTCAGTTTAAAACAATTCCTAGAACAGTGAAAAAAATTATAAATGAAAAAAAGACAGTAGCAACAGAAGTTACCTGTCCGAGCACCTACTATTCCACAGAGAGAACAGGAGTGGGTCGTGTGTCTCACACCAGCCATAAAGCCCATAAACCTTCTCAAAAAGAGTGAGCCATGAGAAAGATACTGTACATGCACTTTGTTTTCAAAGTCTCTCTAAGCCCTTAAGGTCCCTGATGCATTTCACTGAGAGATTTTTGCAGCAAGGGGGAGAAAAGATTTAGCAAACATCACTGGTTTCATTTGTTGGATTTTGAAGTTCAGCACAATGTCTGAAGAAGTATCTCCTTTGCGTCTGACATACACAGATGTTCCAGAGGTTAATTCCTGAGTATCACACAAGAAAGGTAGCACACGAAGTGGGAGAAACTGCTCCAAGAGTGACTATCAGCTCAGAGCAAAAACATTAACAGTCCATATGTATCAAGCATTGACACTGCATTACGGATGAAGTATTGCAACATTCCAATAAAAGATTTTATAACACATGTTAAAGCATTAAATACAAGGCTTAAGATACAATCTGTACATTGACATAGTAAGACAGCAATTATAAACATGGTTAAGTTGAACAGAAGAAAATCTCCAGTGTTACAAATAATAACATTTCATCAGATGTAGTTTAAGAAACTTATTCTTGCAAAGAAGAGTTTCCAGCTAGCTCTTTTGAACATTAAAATACATAAAAATAGTTGCATCACCATCAGTTGTATTAGCACCATTGTAACCCAGGACTACATTGACCATTTTTTCAGGACATGCTTCCAAACCCACGTAAGGAGGTAGTGTTAGTGCAACTGTATGAAAGTTTAGCATGTGCTTTTCAGCATATGGAATTGAAGGAAATAGAGTGTATGCAGCTAATGTCTGTAAAATTCATCTTCAATGGGAAACACTGCCTGGTTGCCACAGGCTGGATTTGTTGACATTTTTTTCCTTTAAGTAAAAGCAAGACACCCGCCTCGCACCCCCAGCCCATTCTGGACATTTCTCTATTTCAGGAGCAATGGATAAGTAGGGAGTAAATCCATGAGACAAGTGTGCCCATTGGTACCAATGAACCCTCAAGCAAGGTTTTCATATGCAGTATCAATACCCAATGTCCAAATAAATGTACACGCTGTTTCAAATCCTGTCACCCTCCCTGACCACTATGCACAGACGTATCTCCAAACTAGCAATGAAAGCACCAACCACAGAGGAGCATCTTATCCCAAGGGAGCCAAACTGTAAATCTCTCAATCCACTGTTTGTCATTTAAAAAAATCTCATGTTAACTTTACAGATTTTACAACCATAAGGCGTGACCTGGACATTATGAAAGGGTGATAGAAATGTAAAGTAGGAAATGTAGTCTTTCTCTCCAAAATACTATGGAGACTCAAAAAAAAAGCCCAGAATGTTCAGTTACCAGCTCCTTCCTCTAAAAGATGTTTCCTGCGATAGAAATACAGAGGTCCTACTGTACTGACTAGCACACGCTTACTCCCTGCTGTTATTCCACATGTGCTTAATGTGTGTCACAGCTGAAAAGGGAAGGACTGACCCTTTCAGGGACTGACCCACTCAAGGAGTGCAGCCACCTACCAGTAAAAAGGAAAAGAAATGAAAACAAAAAAACACACAAACAAACACCACCCAAATTCCCCTTAGATAAACAAGCAAGGGGAGAAGAACCTCTGGAAGAGACAGTTGACTGCTCAGTGACTAGAAAATTAGGTTTCTTTTATGTTCTGTGTTTCTGCAACTCTTCATGGAAGATAAAGACCTTTATATTCTTCAGGTATGACTTGTGCACTTGAAGGCTCAGGAAGAAAAGATTTGAAAATACCTTTACTGATGAAGCTCCTTTTGTTGCTGGACCAGCTGGTCCGTGCTCCTGCTTAACACCAACAGTCAACCTTTCACTTGATTTTAATAATAATATTTAATTCTACAAAAAAAAGCCATTTTATTACATTCCTTTTAAAATAAAAAACCAAACTGTACAAAGAAGCATGATCAAACCTCCGTAAAGCAGGTTAATACTGTTCTGTTTATTGCCTCTTGAAGACTCTCTGCATAGTGTCCGTGAGTTGTGTTTAAGGTCCAAGTGCAGATAAAACAGCAGAGCAGCAGAGAGGTGAGGAGGGGCCACAGAGGTGGGCAGTGCAGAGCCTCAGAGGGTACATGGGACATGCTCCATTAAAGTATCCAGAAAACAGCAGCATTGCACACACACAACTCCCCTCCAAACAAACCCTATTTTCACAAGATTATTTTTTAACTGTAAACGTTTTACTTTTTGTTTTTTTTTGTTTTTTTAAAAAAGAGGCTTATCTTTATATATATATCTCTCTCTATAGTTCCAGGGCTTTATGAACCCAGAGAATGAGAAAGGAATGAAAAGGGAGGAAGGAGAAGGAAGAGGAAAAGGAGGGAGAAGATAGGGACTGAAAAACGGACTAAGTATCTGTTTTCCAAAACAGCTGAAGGCTAATGAGACAATGCACAGCCAGAAGGACTAAGGAAAATCAGGCAGCCTGGAAAAAACTTAGGAGCTAAAGAGCCAAAACCCAGAAAGAAATAAAGCAAAGCAAATGCACACACACAAACACACAGATGTGTGCACTCACACCACACACACATATGGGTCCAGGATCAATTTGTTAATTGTTTGTGGACCTAGGTTATATATATAGGGGTTTTTTCAAATTCTGGCTGAGCTCTCTTCTTTTTTTCTTTTTTTTTTCTCCCCCCCTTTCATTTTTTTTTTCCATTTTTTGTCATTTTTCTTTTTAAAATCTGCTGCATGTTTCCCAAAGTTAAGAATTTAGTATTACTCCCCAGTTATACTCTTTGGATTTCTGCCAACATCAGCTTTTATGTTCAGTGGGAAAAAGTAAGCGTGGTAAGTATTGTATGAACTGCAGCTTTATTCTAAAGTATCTCTAGATGCCTGATCACTTTTAACCAACTTTTCCCTCCTCCACACCTTATCATGTTTCCCCCTCAACCAAAAAAAGTAAAATCTAAAAACAAAACAAAAAACCCACCAATATACAGGCTTTAACTCAGTGTTTTCTTAACAAATAGTCTGCAGTGTTTTCACTTTGGCCACTGTTAAAGATGCAGGCATAGAGAAGGGAGTGTTGGACTAGCATATATTAAAAAAAAGGAACATTAACATTGCAGATCTCTCTCAAAAAGACTAAAACACTAACAAATACAAGTCGATGCACATTTGCTTTAAACTAGTGTAATTCTTATTCACATTGGATTAAACATTATTTTGTATACCAAACATTACAGTGCTGTTTATCTCCTCCAATCATGCAAAAATAGTTAAAATGTGCCACCTCTGCCACAGAGTATGACCAATTCCCCTACATACCTTCCAAAGTCAGGATTTGAAATGAGAAAGACAGAAGTACTAAAATCCTCCTTCAAAAGCTTTATAAAGAAATATAAACACAAAGCTGCCAATTAATACTAAGATGGCACAAATTACAGATTTGTACAGAAAGCTCACGTTAAGTCAACTGACACTTCTCTCAGCCTCATCATTTGAAAGGCCATATCCTGCAAGGTCAGAAAGTGGTGACTTTAAAAGGATCCTGAACTTGCAGCTCCCATCTACAGGAGTAGTAACAGTAGGTGTCCAGGAACTTTGAAATATCTGATATTTAACACCTTCAACTCACACTGAGAATTTGAGGCACTCGGCAATTTACATGATCAAGCCTTAGAGAGGTAGAAGAGACTTAACTGGTGCAGTAATTCACAGAAGTTTCTAGAGAGCTGCCAGACAGCTTTCTGAAAATCTTCAAGCATGAATCATGCTTCAATGCTTTCCTGTGAACACACATGAACTGCAATATGCCTGGGGACCAAAGCAGCATCCAAATACAATTCCCACTTAGGTTGTGAACTGAGCAACTTCATTAGAAAACTTCTATGCTGAAGAACAAACACAATTTTATGTTCTGCAAAAAAGTAGGGGCAGCAATCACAGCATGCATGCCTTTTACTCTCGCTCTCAACGCCCCTCCCCTTTCCTCATTTCTCTGAGCTTCTCTGATAAACAGCATTGCAAGTTGGTTTAAAAAAAAATTTACAAGAGAGAGTTCTGTTGGTCATCTATTTACATGTGGCATCACTCCACAAGAAGTTTGATCTCATTGGCTAATAGCTGGTTCATGTTGAACAGAGCCCCCGGGAGCTTGGTGAGCAACTCTCTCTCCGTGGTCTCAGGGTCGCTGTCGACAGAGCTGGAGCTAGCACTCATATTGTCGACAGCGGCACTAGCTGGAGGGCCCAGCTCTGGCTCGCTAGTCTCGCTTGCCGTGGACACCACGGAGAGCAAGGACATGCGCCGCGTCAAGCGACCGGGGGTAAGGAGAGAAGCGGCATAGTCCGCTATGATCCCAGCTACATCTAGATTACAAGCCTTGTCAAAGGCAATGAAACCTACATTTGCATTGGCCTCGCAGACGTAGAATGATCCGTCGTCCTTCATCAGCAGGTCAATGCCGCACACGTCCATCCCCAGGATGTTTGACACTTGGACTGCCAGCTGCTTGCCTTGTTCACTCAGTGAACACATCATCCCTACACCACCTGGAAAGAGTGAAAAAACACTTGCTGTCGGTAGTCTGGTCACAGGTGACTGACATCCTTCTCAACCGATCAGCATTTTTCGGTTGAGAAGCTCCAAAGTGAGCCTGCAAGCGTACTGCTGCTGACTCAGAAAGCAACCTCCTTTCCACAGCGACTACTAATGAACTTGAGCCACAGCAGGATTTTAAAACATTCTGACCTGCCAAAGGCAGGTCAGGATTATGACTTCTTTAAAAAACTTTTTAGTCAAGACAGATATCATACTTTTTTATGATACTGAGATATTAATAAGATGACCTAACAAGCCACCTTTGTTCCTTCTAAGGTTGAGGCTTTCTATACATATTTGTAAGTTATCAGAAAAAAATCTTTCAGCAAAATTAAACTAAATGTTTCTGATAAGACTACAGCTCTAACAGATATAACTGAGGGAAATGGGGATTAAGGCATTATCATCTGCTCATGTCCCTCTCAGCTTGCTATCCTAGTTTACAGGCTCTAAAGCAAGAATTAGGGAACATTTGTGTCTGAACAGAATCACAGAACGTTAGGGATTGGAAGGGACCTCAAAAGATCATCTAGTCCAATCCCCCTGCCGGAGCAGGAACACCTAGATGAGGTTGCACAGGAAGGCGTCCAGGGGGGTTTTGAATGTCTCCAGAGAAGGAGACTCCACAACCTCTCTGGGCAGCCTGTTCCAGTGCTCTGGCACCCTCACTGAGAAGAAGTTCCTTCTCAAATTTAAGTGGAACCTCCTGTGTTCCAGCTTGTGCCCATTACCCCTTGTCCTATCACTGTTTGTCACCGAGAAGAGCCTGGCTCCATCCTCGTGACACTCACCCTTTAAATATTTATAGACATGAATGAGGTCTCCCCTCAGTCTCCTCTTCTGCAAACTAAAGAGACCCAGCTCCCTCAGCCGTTCCTCATAAGGGAGATGCTCCACTCCCTCAGCTTGTAGTTCATAGTCTGTCATCTAAGTATTAACCAACAGACTCCATCTAACACTTAAGTTTAAAAAACAAGAAAACAATTACAAACCAAAAAACTTGTAGCAGAAAAATCTTTCAGGCTGTATTTCCTCAGCATCAAGTAGTAACTAAAACCTCTCACACATTTTGACTAACCAAAACTTTGCTACATTTTATCCATCTCTGCTCAAGTTCAGGACACTTTCAGTCAGGTAATCTCAACCCTCTTTCCTCCTTCTACCCTCAAAACTCCCCTGTTCTACAACCCAAAGTTATGCAGAAACTCAGTTCTGAGTATGCTATAATCAATGCAGTAACCTTCCTCTTCCTCCTAGACACAAACTTTGGAGGAAAAGGTTGCACAGAGGAGCCTGATAGACTCAAGGCAGCACAGCAGCTGCACAATGCAATCCACCTGTTTGTTGCCTTCAGCAGTTTCCTCCCTTAACACTCTTTTCTACTCTTCTGCCAACTGGCTGTCTCTTCTACCTCACTCAGTATCATCTTTTGTCTTCCTTCTTTCTCTGCTTAACAGGATAAAATGATTGATAACATGGCATTAGCATGACACTCCCACTACCACATCAGTTGTTCCATTTGTGTTCCTAGAACTTTTCCCCTCCTTTTCGTCCATCCTATCCATCTAATCCACTTTGGGCAGAGATCATCCCTCCTTCTGTGTTTGCTCAACACACACCTCACTTAATCCTCACTCTCGTGTTTCCTCTGTAAAAAGCAAGCACAATTAATACAAAATAAAACCTGCAGCTTATTTCAGTTGGGTTTGTGATTTTTCAACTGGATTAAAAAAATTCTGATCAAAACTATGAAGAATGCTTTTCCTACCAAGTGAACAGTTACTCTGCATCCTCCCATCTGTTGAGCAGCGGAGCATGGTGCCCACCACACGGCCTCCTACTACGATGACACGTACATCCTTGCCATGGGACTCTTTAACGTATTTCTGAAATAAGTAAGGGGCATCATGACGGATCAAATGGCTTAGGTCTGCCAAATGGTGCTTGTCTCGTGCCAGGAACACAGCTTTACCTGTATGAAGAAAAGAACATTGCAAGATTGGAAGAAGCTACCAATTTGAGCTGTGTCAATGATTCTGTGCATAAAAGTAAAACCTCTGCCCATTCTCACAGGCCCCATCTGTACCTTAAAATCCTTAATGAGAGAAAATAAGGAAGAAATACTTAAAGAGCAGAAGACATTTAATTAATAACACAGTTTTGTTCATCCAAGAGGACGGGACTCCCAGCCTACAGCTTTGATACACAGGAACCAATGACAAGAAACTGTTAAACACTCGGCAGCTAAGAACTCTGATGTTGCTGGTGTGCCACTGCAGAATCAATCACTTCTCTGATGGGAAGTTGCTGAGAGTACAATAGTAAATTGATAAACTGCCTATCTTAACCAAGGGAACAGAAATACAGCAGAACTAGGAGAAATAACATGTGACGAAGAATAATTCCACCAAGTGCTCCAAAGCCCAACTGGAGTAGCCTTTACTTCATCAGGATTTAAGGTCTCTGTAACAGAGAACACTGCTTGAGAAACAATTTCTTACTCACAGAGTATCAAAATGTAAGCTTAAAAATCATGACATGCAAGCAAAAATCCTCATGTGTTTTCTCCCATTCTCAACTTCAACTCTCCTACAAGCATTTAATAATCCTACTGTATTCCTAAAATGGGATAGGAAGAATGATACCTTGGAGGAGAACAACCTAATTCTTGGGAATTACACAGCAGCAGCAGCAAACTATTCTGAAAACTGGCCTAGAAGAGTATTATTTCTATTCCTCAGCCAGCACCTATGACCATGTTTGCCCGTTTTTTTAAATACAGTTTGCAAATGGCAAAGTTAAATTTCAGTTTTAATTAAGTTTAAAAAGTTTCTCCAACTCTTTTAATGTGAAAGGGTATGTACTGTGCATTAAAATGTCTGGAACTTGAAGTGCTCTAAAGCAATACTTATGAACAGAGAGTTACATTAATTCTGGCTAAAAAAAGTCAATTGCCACACACTGTAATTATTTAGTAGATCTTAACAAGAGGCAGTATCAAATCAAATCCAGTGTCTCAGATCCTTCACAGTTGCCAAATTCAGCTTGCTGCAAAGTCAAACTCCACCTTGGCTTCATAGCTCCACAAGCACTTTAAAACCATAAAAACAGGTATTACTGCCAACAGAAGCAAGACTGATCTTCCTCTGCTCAGCCTTTTGCTTCCCCTCTTCCATTACTTCAATACAAGCATTTGTGCAAGTAAATAATAATTCATGTCAGGAATTAATCCACGTAAAAATAACCTATCTAGATTCATCCAAGATCAGTTCCTGAATCCATTTACAATCTGGCTACAGAAACACCCATGTCAGCAGAAGAAATGCACCAGAGCAGCACAGAGCAGGAACAAACTGACAGACAATAAGGAAGAAATGGTGTCTTTTCATTATGCTTTTAAGGTAACTGCTGGTTTATGCGGTTAAACGTCAGTCACAGTCTCTTTTTACTTCCACTGTTTATTAAATTGGCTTTAAAGTAAATTAAAAATGGTGCAACCTCCTGTGCAAATAACCTCTGAAATGTTTTTTAAACCTGGTATCCTTTAGTAGATCACTATCTAACATGAAATAAAATTGATGTATTGTTTCATATTCAACACTTGAAACAAGAGACTGGTAACAGAACAATTTAATCCGAAACTGCTATATTATTATCAGCACTGTCAAAGATATTTTTCCGAAAACAAAGATCCAGTGTGACAAACAATATATGAGATTTTATTTAAATCAGAATCTTAATTGTCGACAAGGTCAAGCAGGTAAAAAAAGTTTAATTAAGACTGAACGAACTAAGATTTCATTTCTTAATTTTATTTAGAGACATCCCTAAAATCCACGTAGGGTTCTCTCTACTTCCCTAAGGCGAGACTATTCATTATTCCAGTTCAAAGCTTTCCTCACAGAAGCCACCAATGCACCACAATTTTGAACTCCTATCCCCCCTGCTTTTGCAAGACCAAGTTCTACTAAAACTGTGTCCCAGTACTGCAGACTACTCAACATTCAGAAGTTGAAGGGTGGTAGAATTTAGATGTACTGCAAAGAAGTCCAGCATCTAATAGAAGACCTTCTTAACTATCACCCCTTGATGAGACAAAATCTTCAAGAGTGCTGCTCAGAATACTCCTTGCCCTTACCCCTGACCTCACACCCACCTCGGTGACCCCGCGTGTTCTTCACCACCATAGGGAACTCCAGCACTTCCGCCTCATCAATCATTTTGGCAAAATTCTCATGACCACCTGGCAAAAAGAAAACCAACAACATTATGTGCCACCAATCTGGTGTGGCCAAATTGGGGATGAAACTGCCACACATTCCTCCCACCCTTATAGCTTAAGATAATGCAGGAAAAACTATCAGTTAAGAGGAGCTTGGTCATGGAACATGATCAGACTTTGAAGGTGTTTGCAATCTGTGGGATACTAACTCCTACTTCCTTTGAAATGGAAGACACAAGTTGACAAAGGCCTTTTGATCACAACCCTGAAAGGTTCAATCCAGATTTCCAAATCTGAATGCCCCAATTCTACCATCTTGTTCCAGTTTACCCCTTTTACTTTATAAACTCCCACCTTTTCAAACATCTAGCAGGAAAACAGCACAGATGTAACACCAGTAACAGTTCCATCCAAACTACTAACCAGGAAAGCAACATGGAATACAAGGACAAGGTATAATTCAGAGAGCAGCAACAACACAAATCTTGTCACTCCACCTCCCCCCTTTCCAAGGCTTAAGTCTCCTGTATCTTATTATCCTCCCTGTAGTTTCCTGAAGTAGTACTTCAATGTTTTCATCTCATTGTACCTGTAAGGACCTTAGAGAGTAGCTTTTAATGACGATTCACATGATTATGGTTGATACTTCAAGGTTATTTGAGTTCAGTTCAATTCACAGAAGGCTGACCACAGTATAAGAAATAGAGCAGAGAAAGTCAACAGACAGAGGGATAAGAGTCCTCTAATGGCATGTGCAGTAAAGCGCAGAAGTCAAGCCAAGACACTGGTCACAAAGCCAGCAGCAGCCATCACTACCCTGCCATGGATTTGAATGCGTGCTGTGAAATAACATGTCATTCAGCACATCCTGTTTTTCTTGGCAAAGTCAGCTCTGACCAATAACTTGATACTTGCATTAAAAAGAAAAAAAAAAAAGAAAAAAAAAAGTCATCCTTCTGTCAAATTCCAGAGGCAGACATTAAAAGAAGTGGCAGGGAGTTATGAACAAACACAGATGTCCTGTAATTACGCCATCATTCGTGGTCTCCCCTTCCCCCCAAAAACTTAGAAACTCATTCCTTTCTCAATGAACTAGAGCAACCACATCTATAAAGGGTATGTTTCTTCTCAAATGTGTTTTCACAGTAATTGATGGAAATACTAACTCCATAGTTCTGTTTTTGTCAACTTTGTTTGTATTTTTGACAAGTTCCCACTACAAAAGCCTATTGGTACAACCACACAAAGGGGAGGAAAGCACTGGTACTTCCAAAAAGGAAGGCTAAGTGGTATCCTAAATTCTTTAATATATTGTAATTGAGAGCAGAAATAGCATCAGGGTAGCTCAAACAAATGGTTCCTCTAATCTAGCACTCTGTCAGGAACAACAGATTCCAGAAGCAAGCACAAGAAACATTAGTAATTAACTGTTCTGGTGGGAAACAAACCCCAAACAATTGTTAGAAGCTGAACACAAGGGTCTGTACTCTTTGTCCTTTCACAATAACTAATATATTTGCAGATATTTGTATTCATATAGAAGTTTAATCTACTTTCAAGTTTTACCAAAGTAGGTCTTTATATTATCCTGTGACATTTAGTTCCCCAAGTTCTTGTCTGTTGTTCTGGGCAACTGTAAAGGAGTTAAAAGTGTTTTACTAGTTACAGTCAAAGTTAGTTGCTTGGGAGGCTGAGGTACAGTTGAAGTACTCTTCCCAAAGCATCACAGTCAATCAACAAAGCCAAAAACAGAATCTGAGTGTTGTGACTCTGATTTCCTTTTCTGGTTACTGAACACTTATCTGTTGAACTAGCTTCATGCTACTTAATTCTATGGATTTCCAAAACTCAACTTGTATCTTTGGCACTGCAATTATGGTATTTTTGGTAGGCAACTATGCCATCCTTTTGATCCAAAAGCCTTACCATATGAAAAAGTGTCTGGAAGAGGCACACCGTGACCAGCAAGTTCTTGAAATGTCCAGAACTTGTTGACACAGTTGAGGATGGCTTGGGGACGATTCATCAACCGACAGCCCATCTTCTCTAGGTGGCGAAGGACTGTGATATCGCTGTCACTCTGGACCCAAGGTGTTGGTACACGCACAACCACTACTTGCGGGTAAGCAGTAATGAGCTCCCCGTTCACCCGCAGACCTAAAGAAGGAAGAGAAAAACATCTCAGTCAACTACAAGGTCTTCAGGAGAAGGTAAACAGGTAAAGAAATTCTGCACCATATGTGATGACAACAGACACCAGACTCGAACAGTGAGCATTAAAACTGCACAACTCTCCCTAAAACACATTTTGTCAGTTTTGCAATTACATACATCTCACTCTTAAGCCATTTCAAACTAGCACTAGGCAAAGAACAGGCTGTATTAGGGTACACAATCTTGGCTCCTTCCCAGAGTGAAGGACTTTTTTTACAAGTTGACATCTCATCCTTTCTATGGGTATTGGCTGCACACTAAACTCACATCAGCAGCATCAATAGCTCAGGAGGTTCCTGCCTCCCACCGTTGGTTCCTGTCTACATGATACAGTTCATACCTTTTCCAGTACAAGCAGTACTGATTCCTCTGTTTGTGGTCTCACACTATAGAACATATTGCCAAACTAATAGAGATTAGATATGACCCTTAAATAAAATAAATCAAACAACAAAAAAAAACCCAACCACAAAACCCCCACACACTAGAAAAAACCTGCACTATTTTTAACACAGGTAATTTCAACAATCTGATTTATACTGAGTGACCAGAAATAACTTTATCATCTAACAGGGCAGCACCCCATGACATTAAGGCAGGAAACTAGAAGAAAAGGCAGCTTCGCCACCAAGACTAATGTATTACTTAATCATGACCTACAGTTTTACAGATCATGTCTCTGTAAAAGAAACACTGAAAGGCAGGCTGCAGGAATGGGAATATGATAGGACTGGACAGGAAGGCATCAAGCTCGATGAACACAGTCTGGCATCTGAGGACGTGAAAGACAAATAGGATTTCTATATTCACTTTATTTGCCTTACGTCCAAAGTAAAACCTTCTGACTCCAGCATAAAATACGCAGCTCACATTGCTGTGAGCATCTTAAGGGTTAAAAAAAGAGAAAGAAGGTGTGCTGAGAAATGCATCTGCATTTCTGTGCCTATGAAAGGTCAGCTGTAACTATTCAAACCTAGCCCAAATTAATTACCTGATTAGCTCTATTCTAAAGATGTTATTTTTGAATAGGGACTTGCATCTACTCAATCTGAAGACACATATTGCCAGGCAATAAATTCCATTTCAAGGTGTATTTGAATTAACTGGGGGTGGAGAAGGGAGGGTGTCCCCCTCTCTGTACTTCCCATTTTCTTCTTCCAGCCAGGATGTATTTTAGAGCTCGCCTTAAATACAGTGAAGCAACCGCCTAATACTCAAAATGGAAGCAGAAATATCCTGCCCAGTCCTCAGGAAGACACATAACTACAGGCCGGAAAGGCCAAAACAGAGCCATATCCAATACAAATCCCTTTTTCCAATCCCTATCACCATCACTGCAGAGAGATGGGAAAACACAAGCAGACGGGTGCTCTGGCTGCTCACCTCATTAGCACCAAGCACTGCCGCATTGCAGCTGACATGACTTGCGTGTTTAAGCAAGCAGGCTCCAGACACACACGCTCACCATTTTATAGAGGCATCTCAAACAAGACTGAAAACAAGACACTGCTAAAAATCTAAGCAGAATGTGAACGGCAGGAAATGGACTGCTGTCTCCTTTAACCAGAAAAGGAGTACAGATTCAGCAAGAAAAAACAGTCAGATCCCACCTTACACATATATTTTCTTATTTAGGTGCACACCCAATTACACCCACTTTTCGCCACTGTAATTGCATGCATGTCCTGATCCACATGAAAGCTGTGCAGCAATCATCTTTAAAAGGACTGCATTTCCTACCAAAATTGCCACTGTAACTTTGTTGTGAACCAAAACTACAGAGTTTTCTAATTCATAATCTCTCAGTGTCTTTTTTGTTGTTTCACTTTAAAGTCACACCACATGCTGAAGTTTTGCACCATGGAATCTGAACAACAGCAGTTTGAGGCGATGTACACGCCTCACCTGGAATTCTCCTGAGTTACCTGCATTAGACTCCACTATCAGACTGGTGTAAACTCAGCCAGGCCACCACCCTCCCCAGAGTGACTCTGGGAGTACAATGATGTTATCAACAGAACAATATCAGCTTTTGCTCCAGCTTCAATCATTTTCTCTGGACTGGATACTGTTCTACGCAGAACAAAAATAAAATTCTCTCCCTTCACAGAAGACAGTTTGCAAACAAAGAGAAAAGCTACCCAACGAAATGTATAATTTGATACACTACTACTGACATGCGCCATAAAAATTAGCTGCAGTTTCCCAGCAACACAGTGCTGCAAACAGAAGCAGCTTTATTACAGTGAAAAAGGAGAGCCAGATTCTGCCATTTTGGAACAAGCTTGTATTCAGCACCCCACCTGAGCCCAGCAGTTAACTATCGGGTTAATGGTCATTATTGCAGAGTGCGCTGACAGTGCAACATTTATACACTATGATGGGCTGGAAGCAGTAACATAGAAGATATCAATGCATACAATTAATTTCTTTTCCAAAGAACCAACTCATGAATGCAAAGAAGGAGAAAGGAAGAAAAAAAGATGTTACAGAGATGTTACTTAAAGAGTGGTTAAGAGCTAATCAATTTATTTTTTTTTCTCATGGAGATGAACTCTTTCCTTTGCAGTAATAGTACCACCCTGGTCCCAGAACAGTAGCAGTGAGTTACGTTCATAGTTGCCTGTGGACAATGAACCGACCCCACAAACATGTAAGGAGATGTTCAGATCACACAACACACAGAAGTGCCTTGACAAATATAAGCTAGTCCATTTGTTGTCTTTCTCAATGGATGCCAATGACATTGCAGACACAAGCAAACAGATAGCTACACAGTCCTTTGAAGTACCAATACTGAGAGCCAGGAAAGGGAGATTTCATGCTTATCTAATACTATGAACTTTACCAACATAATAACCATTTTACTAGTGTCTGGGACATTATTTCTTAGGTTATCATAAAACACTTGGGTATTCTTTGGCCCTATGAGATAAAGACTCCTGAGTTGGAGTATCACACTATAAAAACAGATGTAAATCCTGCACTTGAACAAGACCAGTTCTTTCACTCAGTGCCAGCTTTCTTCCTTCTTCCTCTGCAAGATGAAACTCTCTCGAACGGAATACGGTAACCTTTAACTTTATACACCAAACATCACAGTATTCAGATGAAAGTGCAAAAGGAATTTTAGCAACGTGAACTGTAATCACCTGGGAATAAACTTGATCAGTTATACCACATCCCTCAAAGCCAAAAAAGCCTCAAGGTTCTCTCAAAGACAGCTTAAAGCAGCACATGACAGAACTGAGTGGGTAAATGCACAACTCGTTCTCAGTTGGCCCAACCAACTGATTGCTGCTTTTCATTCCCAAAGAACAGCAGGTGAGCTTGAAGTGCAGAGTAGCTGGTCTCTGCTAAAAGGTCTTATTTTGACCCAATCAGATTAGAAGCCATCACATTAACCTGTGAAGTCCCCAGAAAATGGATGCAGCATTAAACTCTAGTGAAGACAGAAGAAAGAGCTAGAAACTTCTGCTGTTACCAGTGAGATCAGAAGACTATCTATATATATGATATATATGTATCTACATATGTATCTATACCCTAAGAAAGTTATTGAGAGTGTAACACCTAACATGGTAGAACCTACTTGCATAGCAAGATACTCAGGATGACAACTTACCTCTCGAACATCCCAGCTCTCATTCATGCATGAATGTTTTTTTAGTGCCTTCTGTTTTCTTCCCTATGACACATTTATCTCACAACCACAATTTCTCAATTAAAAAGCCCCACTCTTAAGAGAGCTACCATTTAGATGGCACAGGTTCCAAATAAAATTCCTCAGAATACAGACACACAAACAAAACTAAGACTCCTAAACTGACTACAGGGTGCTTGTTCACACTCCATAGCAAAACATAAGGCAAAATACTTCGCCTTAAGACTCAGCGAAGGAATTCTACAATAATGAATCTGACTACACAACTGGGACAAGCTAAGTGCCCAAATACAGGCACTGTAACGATATCCCATAAAGCCTGCAAGCCAAACACACTTCTGCAAGTCAATCACATCCACAGCACGTAAATTCTTAAACTGCAGCCTCACATCTTTTACAATCCATAAGCATTGGTGCTTTATCTACCCAGTTATCCTACTTTCTTCTGTTTTAGAAACTCTAAGAAGCACTTCTGCACTGACGGCATTATGGATGACTAAAAAGGATCAAGATTTCAAGAAACTCTGCGTGGCTTCTGAACATCTTAATTCACACCCAAGCAGCATTTTAAATTGCTACACAGTTTTGACACTCATTCTGTTCAGTTTGATATCTTCACAAATCCCTTCCAAATCTCCACAAGCATCAGTCCATCAGCAGATTAGTAGCTACTACAAAGCAGTATCTCATGTCCAGTTTTCATGTTATGAACAATTAATTGTACTTTCAGCTGAAACAATGCAAATTTTTTCACAGAAGGAACATAGTTTCAGTAGATAAAATTTCAAAAAAAAATTTCAAAGATTTGCAAGGACATCAAAAATAACTCAGAGCTTTTATAGCTCTCATTATAGCAAACATCAGGCATTTTTAACAAAAAAATAAATCTCAGTAATATCAAATAAATTTATAAAAGTATTTTTCATTCCAAATTGTAATTCTGGAATAGAGTCAAGAAAAGCAAACTGAGTCACCAAGACCATGGAGTACTTAGGACTCAAATACATTTAGGTCTTCAAGTACAGCATGTGACCATAAGAACCCATAGCCAACTTCTTCAGTGAAATGGTATGATACAAAGCTAAATGCCTAAAGTATTTAATATACAAGCAGAGGACATCTCAGTAGGCTTAGATGTAAATCAAATTACTGATGTCAAGCTTCTATTTCTATACAATTTGAATCATCAGTATTAATTGATAGACTATGATAGGTAAAAAGACTAAAGTAGCTGGAAATGTCAGAAGCTATGGCCTAGGGAAGAAACCCAAAGTACATT